AACGCCGGCCCTACCTTCTCCCTCCCGATGCCGACAGCGGTGTGCCGGTAGTCGAGCGTGTGCAGCTCCACTCCAAGTCTCTTGCCTGTCTCGCGCTGCAGCGCCCGCGTCAGTCAGTCAGTCCCCCACAGCCCACGCTCGTCTGCCCACACATAGTCGCTGAAGCCACCACCAAGCACATTCACAGTCAAGTACTCTCGAAACAGGCGCAAGTACGCTAAATACACAACCATGACCTGTCCTAGCTGCGGTGGCAAGAAGCATAGCACTACCTTTAGCTTGTCCTACTGCAACTGTGACTTATAATAGCAGGCAACTATTATTACCTGCCTATTAATAATAAAGATATTGTAGTCTTATAGCTGCCTGTTCTAAAAGCGCATTATTATTACCTCTAACCCTCTACCTAGCTGTCTAGATGTTATATACATGTAGACAAGTAATAGTGTTAAGAAGTAGTCTACGCAACACAAGTACTACCTAACCTACTTTATATTCTACTTGCTATTACTTAAGTATAGTCTATAGCCCTATTCTATCTGTTTTACCTATATAAGCATCTACTATAGCCTACTACTAAGCCTATTCTTAACCTACTCTATAAATAAATACTAGTGTTTTGTAAACAAGACGTTGTTAATAACCTTGTCTAGCTTAATAGTAAACTATTCTTCTTTCCTTACTACCTAGCACAGTTCCTGCTACAGCACCTGCTCTGCCTCTGTGACTATGTCCTGCGCTATCTTCTAAAAGCAGCTAACGTAGACCTACTAGCTATGCAAGTAGAAGATCTTCTTGTCCTGTGACCAGTACGCATTGCCCGCGTTGCCTGCCACTAGCGCGACGTGCCTGCTGTATGCTAGCATGTTGATTGTCTCGCTCATCGGGCTGTACGAGCTGTTGGCCAGATACTGCTTTCTTGCTGTCAAGAACCACTGCTAGTCCTTGTTGGTCTGCTTATCGCGGCACACATGCAGCAGAAGCTTTTCTACGCTAAGCACGCGCACGCAGTACACCACGCTAGCAAGCATGTATAAGTAGTTCTTCACTGTGCGCAAGCAGCCTAGCTCTGCGTTAATGCCCAGCACAGCAAGAAAGTGAACAAGCCTGTTGCTAAGCAGTTTACTGCCTATTAAAGCAAAGAAGAACGCCGTAAGTGTGTTAAGCAATCCCTGCATCTAAGCACCTTAATCGCCACCTTCTAAAGCGTCCCACAGCTGCATTGCCCGCAAGCGCTGCGAGCCTTGCCAGCAGAACAGCTCGCGCGCATCCTTCATGTAGTCTATCTTCTTCTTCCTGCGCTGCAGGCAACAGCTGATGCTATTGCCTCTAGCCTTGTCTTCTAACTCTCCTAATTGTGCTAATTGTGCTAACTATGCTAACAGTACTAACTATAAGCTACGTGCAGTACTGTCTATATTACTGCTATAATTACTTTCCCCCTCTCTATCCTCTTCCTCTTCTACTTCTTTATTATTATTATACCTTTCCTTGTTATTATTATTATTATTATTATTATTATTATTACTTGCCTTACTTCTACTTTATTATGCAGCTTAGGCCTCCTTGTTAGCAATAATACACAGAAAGTAGCACATAAACCTGACTATGTAGCTTGCGTAGTAAGCCTAACTCTCCACATTCTACAGTTAAGCAAGCAGGCGCAGGTCCAGGTTGTCACGCCTTGCGCTCCTTAACTACTGTCTTGACTCTCAGTCCAGCGTTAACAGCCCCCGCACGCTCCTCTCCACAAGCCCCTCGACCAGTGCAGCAGCTAGCTGCAGCTTTACCTCGCCTCGATTGGGCAGCTGGGCCTGATGCGCAAGATGTGCCAGATTGCGGCCTGCAAAGTGCTCCGGCCAGCCTGTCTGCTTAAACCAGCCTGTCTGATCTGTCTTCGCCACAGCTGCGTCCATGAGCTGCATCCTCTGCTCTTCTTCTCTCTGCACTGTCTCCCACTCAGCCATCTCTCTTTTAACATTGTCTGCTACATCATAGGGGGCAGACAGCGCGCTGTTGCTATCTCCTGTGCTGCTGTCTCCTGCATTCACAACAAAATAGCGCTGCAGCCCACTAGTGCAGAAGAATGTCTGCACCTTAACTCTCTAATACAGTGCATTGTTATTGCCTTGCTATAGCAGCTTATGTTCTTTCTTGTAGTGTATGCGCATCTTGTTTATATTAACAGTGATAAAGCTGCAGTCCTCCTTGCTACATTGAAA